CATCACTGATAAAAACTTGTTGCTACCTATTTATCAGATTTTATCCAGCTGCTTTTCTGATTCAAATAAAACTTCTTCATCCCACCTAAGTGTCTTCATATAGTATTATGTCACAGTCTTGGTTACAGTCTAGATAAATTGTGTCATTGACTTTCTTGGGCTGTATGCCTAGGAGAGGTATTTCTGTGTCAAATGGTATTTTAGTCACTCTCTTTGAACTATTCCAAGTCGATTTCTAGAATGGTTGTACCAGTTCGTAGCTCTACCAACAATATATTAGTGTGTCTGGTTTTCCATAGCATTTGCAACATTAACTATTCCCATCTTTTTTTTTTTAAATCTTTGACAAGGTGGTTGGTATGAAGGGACGCCCTAGGGAAGTTGTTTTGATTTGTATTTCTTTTATTATTAGTGATTTAAAGCATTCTTTGTTATAGTTGTTAATAGTTTTCTGTTAGGGAATGACTTTTGGTCTTATATATTCCTGTTGTCTATATATTTTGGATATCAGAACATTTTCATATATTTGATATAAATCTTTCTTATTCTTTTTGCATTTATTTTATTCATGCAAATTCTTTTCAATTTTATGTAGTTAAAATGATTGATTTTATCTTTTGTAATTGGCTCTGTCTATTGGTTAAAAATTCACCTCTCTCCTCCTCACCCCACCTTTGATACCTGTGCCCAGTATATGATTTGTTTCTCTTCTTATTTTTTTAATGGTATGATCTTAAATATTCAAGACACGTATCCATCTTGAATATATTCTGGCATATGATATAAGGCAGAGCAAACATGGTGTAGTAGACAGAGATATGAACTCAGAGAGAGAAAGACCTGTGATCAGGTCCTGCCTCTGTAATATACAACCTGTGACATGGGGCAAGTTATGTAACCTTTTAGGCAGCTCTCTGGGACTGTAAGTTGCTAAGAAAGTACTGACCTGCATTGTCAGAGGTGCTTTCCTCCTCCCAGGAGCTTGATATACCAATGACATAATAGTTTTTATCCCTTATGTCATGTAAGATATTGATCTAAACCCAATTTTTGCTATACTACTTTCCAGTTTTTCCAGCTGTTCTTGTCATATAGAGGGTATTTCTTCCTGAGTAATTTGTGTTTTCAGGTTTTGGATATTGATTTATTGAGTCCAGTTATATCTAGTTCTTTCTTGTCTAGTCTGTATCATCCAACAGTAAGATAAATGAGGGAAAATAGAGAAATGTATGAATTGTTAAAGAATTTAGAGCTAAAAGATAATGTGGCATTTATGTAATGGCACCACTAATGAAATACACATATCTCAGTATCATATGGCACCCTAACAAACAGACTGTGTACTAGATAAGACAGAGGGATTGCAAATAAATGTAAGCACTGTAATAATAAAGAATTATTTGCAAAGTATAACATAACAAATAGTATTTCATACAGGAATCACAAGCAAGTGACACAGGTCTAAATAAAGACGATAATGAAAACTAGTCTTATTCATTATTCCTTTCCATGTATTTTCAGTCTAGAGATGCTGGCCTTCTTGTTGTTCCTAGTAAAAAATACTTTATTTACTGACTCCATGCATTTTCACTGGCTCTCTTCCATCCCTGGAATGTTCTTCTTGCTCATGTCCCTCCTCCTGGCACCTGTGCATTCCCTCAAGTCTCAACTAAAATCTCACCTTTGGCAAGAAGCCTTTCTTGATACCCCCTAATGCTAATGCCTTTTCTCTGAGGTTACTTTGAATTTTGTCCTGCATATTTTGTTTCTACATATTTAATTGCATGTTGACTCTCTCATTAGATTATGAACTCCTTTAAAGCAGGAACTATTTTTGCCTTTCTTTTTCTTATTCATAGCATTTAGCACACTGCCTGGCACATTGTAGGAGCTTAATAAATATTTGTTGTTGTTGATTGGGTCAGGAGAAATTACAGAAACATTAAAAACTATGCTAAAGAAAAAAAAAATGACGAGACAGCATACCAGCATTTCTGGAATACAGCCAAAGCTGTACTATGTGGAAAAAGTATATTGCTAAAAGCATGCGGCATCTAGGTGGCACAGTAGATAGAGTGCCAGACCTGGAGTCAGGAATACCTGAGTTCAAATCTGTCCTCTGATACTTACTAGCTGTATGACCCTGGGCAAGTCACTTAACCCTGTTTGCGTCAGTTTCCTTGTCACTTAACCCTGTTTGCCTCAGTTCCTCATTTGTAAAATGAGCTGGAGAAGGAAATGGCAAACCACTCTAGTATCTGCCAAGAAAACCTCGAAAGGGGCCACAAAGAGTAGGCCATATCTGAAAACGTCTATGCAACAACAAAAGTATATAGTAGCAAAATAGAAGAAGGGAGATTAATGAATTAATTATACAGTTTAAAAATTAGAAATTCGACAAATGCAAAATAAGCAAAACAGATGAAGTATGAAAATTATAGTAGAAATATATAAATTGGAAAGTAAAAAGACTATGAAACTTCGTACCAAACTAAGAACTAGTTTTTAAAAAGCATTAACAAAATTGATAAACGTCTGCCAACCTCAATGAAGAGAAGAGAGAAGAAAAGTATGTTAACAAAACTAAAAATAAGAGGAAGTCTTAGCAAACAGGGGAGAAATAAAAAGAATTGTTATCATCCAATGCGCATATTTATATTCTAAGAAAACTGACAATTCAAATAAAGTAAAAGATTCTACAAAAATCTAAAGTAATCAAATTAACTGAACACCAAATAGAGAACTTATGTTATTCAGTCTCAGAAAAGGAAATTGAACTTGCTGTATAGGAACTTTCAAAGGAAAAAAAATCCTTGTCTAGATGGACTTACAGAAAAATACTGTAAAATTTTAAAGAAGAATTATTGTCTATTATGTACAAATTATCCTAAAATATTGAGAAATAAAACTCTCTCTTAAACTCATTTTGTGAGACAAATATAGTTTTAATAACTAAACCCGGGAAGGATTGATTAAATAGAACTACAGTTTCTTATCATTAATGAATATGGATTAAAAATTTTTAATTAGATCATTGCCAAAAAATCATTCATTATGATCAAGTTGAATTCTTGCTAGGGATTCCAGCCTGGTTCAACACTAGGAAAACAATGATGGATTAAGTTAAAAAGAAAACCATGTGAAGCTATATAATTATATTAATAGATGCAGAAAAATTCTTTGAATAAGTATAGTATTTATGCTAAAACCCTGTAAAAGAAGCTTAGGAGTCTTTAAATATGAATAAAATGTATCTTTCTAAAACAACAAAAAAAAAGTCAGTCCAACACGAACAAGAAAGCAAGCACTTTCTTCATCTGAGGTCTGCAGACCCCTTGTTGGTGGATGGCAAGAGCTGACAACTTAGATGGGAAAAAATATATCTTTATTTCAGTATAATTGCTTTTTTTTAAACACACGTATTTAACTTTATGCATTTAAAAAACATGATTCTTAGAAGGGTTCCATAGGCTTCATCAGACTGCCAAAGGGGTCTATGATCCCCCAAAACACTAAGAACCCTTATATTAGAAGCTGTTCTTTCTTTCTTTCTGTCTTTCTTCTTTTCTGAGGCAATCAGGGTTAACTGAATTGCCCAGAGTCACACAGCTATTAAGTGTCAAGTGTCTGAGGCCAGATTTGAACTCAGGTTCTCCTGACTCCAAGGCTGGAACTCTATCCACTGTACCACCTAACTGCCCCCATTAGAAGCTTTGCTAAGGAATAAAGGTGTAAAGCAAGGATTCCTTCTTTCCCTTCTATTATTTGACGTAGTTTTAGAAACGTTAACAATAGCAGAAAGATGAGAAAGAAGTTAAAACCTTTTAAAAATAGGAATAGAGAAGATAAAACTATTTTTTAAAAAAAATTAATGATGGGATAGTTTACTTAAAACATTCTAGGGAATTAGTAAAGAAACTAATCGAGACAATAAATGGCTCTGATTAAGTATTGTGGCAAAAATAATTTCATAAATTCCCCAAGACATCTACATAGCAGTGACAAAATCCAGGAGGCTGTGATATAAAGACAAGTGACTCAAAAATGACTATAAAATGTGTAAGTTGAATGGGCGTCAGACTACCAGAGTGCACTCAACGCAGCACACTCAATGCCTGTATCGATACAGTTACAAAAGACTTCTTAAAGAAGCAAATAAAGTTAAGTAACTGGAAGGATAATCAGTGCTCGTGGCTGGGCTATTCTTCTACTGTAACAGTGATAATAACAAAGAGATAATCCAATAATAGCTAAATTCATTTGGAGGAACAGAATATCTAAAATGTCAAGAGAAATCGAAACAGGTCAGAATAAGCAAGGGATAGGACATTATCAAAGCCATTTGGTCCTGTGTTCCGTATATTTTCTGGTTTTTTAAAATTGGAATTGAAGAAACACTTTGGCACACAAGTATTTAAGTTTTTTTTTATCAAAAGTTAAACCACTTAGATGTTCAAGTTTTAGAAATATGAAAGTTTTTGGGTGGGTATGTTATAAAAATGTATTGCTGTTTGTCAAATCTTTTCAGAGATTTGTATGTAGGTGTGGCATGTATAAGTCTGTCTTTGCGTGTGTGTTTCCTGTGTACATGTGTGTGTATTTGATGGTTTCTATACATATACTTATTGGGGTTTTTTGTCTTTATGAATTTGTTCTTGATTATTTTAGGATGAATTGAATAGAATAATAGATTAAGAATTCAGAGTTCCTGATTTTTTCCAATCTCTACCTTTTTGACTTGATCTATTACTTTGAGCAGAGCTAGGTTAATTTCTAAATTGAAAAATATGAATGAGAATTTTCATAAGGAAAAGATTGTGCTTTGAAATTATTAACCTGGGTTGCTACATATTATTGATGATAAATTAATACAGCTTTCAAGGTTTTTTAAATTTAAAGATAAAATAGTATTAAGTTAAAGTATGTTATTTTAATACACTTCTGCATTTCTTGTCTGATAAATTTTTGAATGTTTTTGTTTTTTCTATTTTTTTTTCCAGAGAGTGATAACGAACTCTCAAGTGGTACTGGTGATGTGTCTAAGGATTGCCCTGAGAAGATCTTATATTCATGGGGAGAATTGCTGGGAAGATGGTAAATTTCAATTTTATCCTTTACAACTTAACATCTACTTACTAAGTTTTCTTTGAACAGAATTTTGAGGAATGAATTAATTTTTTCATATAAATTATAACCTTTATGATTATGCCAAAAGTTGGATTATTGTAAATGAATTTTAAGATGGCAGTATATTTAAAATAGCACAGAAAATCAATTATAATATAAATTTGTAGCTATATTTAATATCTGTACTTGAAAACCAACAAAAAACATGGTCATTGCACTTTCAGATAGTTATTTTACTCATTATTCTGCCATTATTTTGTTCAGAAGAGTTCATTGCATGCTTTATTGTCAAAATACTTAAATTCTCATATTAAGAGGCTAATTCATTTGTACTTGATTTATCCATGCTTGTCTCTCTATATTTGTCTCACATATTTCTACCTACATGTTTCCCTCCCATCTCTGGTTTAAAAAGGGGCAGATGCAATCTTTTTTACTATGGAATAAATTGTTTTCAGAAGCAAGCTTTCTCCTAGTTTGTAATTCATGTTAATTTCTGGTGTCAAAGAATTTCATCTTGAAAAGACATGATTTTTTGAAAAACAAGTTTCTCTAGAAATTAGGATGAATTTCTTATCTTGTTTCCAAATAGAAGTACATAGTAAAATCTTTTTATTGTTTTTTAAAATCATAAAATCTATATTAGAGATCTACAGATCACAACTTGGATTTTAGATACCATTACAGTAATATGAATAAAGTGCTAAAATTAGATTCAGGTAGAATTAAGTAGCTAGTTGGGACAAAAATAAAACAAACCATTATAGAGTAAAGCATGGAAATTTATCCTGGATAACTGACAAATACCAGTTTTAAAAAGAAAACCTTTTAGTATTGACTGTGAGCAGGCAGTGATTAAGTACAGTATACTCCATATCTTTCCCTTCATCTAGCACCTCTGTACCCATAAGTATTGATGGAATTGAATTGAGATCTATATCTATATATCTGGATCTGTATCTGTAGCTATATATCTCTATTTAACTGTGTAGGGTATCTGATGAAGTTTCCCTTTGTAGAATAGTAGAGCAAAACCACAGGTTCTTCTTATATGATCACTTCATATACATATATTTACTATACTATATTAATTAAGGAAGGAAGTAGATACATGCCATCTTGAATTCACTTCCACATAATTTTGTGGCTTCTTTGCATTAGTTTTTAGGTTTCTCCCATCAGTGCCAATCTAGGAAGGAAGGAAGCACCTGTGGGGAGCTTTGGTGACATTAGTCCAAGGTTCAGGAAGCTCACTTACAATACTGCAATTACTTGTTAAGTCTACATTTAAAACCACTGAGGGCCCCTGCTCTGTTTTTTAGAAGGGAAAGAATGTAGGTACATTAAAATCAATAAACTCACTGAAATTTTTTCAGAGTTTCATTGGAGGTGTAAGAAAAAAAAAACCCAAATACCAAAACTTTAGCCAACTATAGATGAAACTTCCTCCACTGCCTCCCCACCTCCAAGTTTTAGCGAACAAAACAAAATATATTTCTTTGTTGGTGATAGAGCTTGAAATAGCAAGGAGATAAGATAATGATTCATAGAGTGAAATAGACGAACTTTCTTTTTCTTCTTGTCATTTAGTTCCTTGACTGTAAACACACAACACACAGTTCTTTCTTATTTAAACACACACACACACACACACACACACACACACACACACACACAC